GCTCAGGCTGAAGTTATATTTAACTTGGGCTAGAGGACAAAGTTGATGCTTCACAGTGGATGCCTTCCTTTTCTTCAGAGGCAAAACAGACAACAAACAGAGTCAAACGTGGATCATTAGCAGCATCTGGAAGTTGACACCAGGAAAAAAGCTGAACCAGGCTGCAGTTAAAAGCTCCCAGGAGGCTCAGAGCCACAGGCCCCCGCTGGAATCTTACTGGTTGACTCCTGTGTGCCCCTACCAGACAGCGAAGGTGATATATAGTTGGCCTGATAATAGGTAGACACAAAACAACCATAAACAGACTCAAAAGGAACACAAAGAGACACACAAAGACCAAAGAGATGCAAACCGATTCACAATTAAACACAAAACCACCACAGAGACTCACAACATCTAGCAAATGCCACAAAATGACTACGACTACAAATGATGCTGCCACATTGTCTCCCGTCTCAGGGTCTTGCTCTTGTGTAAGCTGGGGAGCTATTTATTGACTTTAATGTAAATATTAATAACGTACCAGAGCTTCACATCTGAGACTTCACATATTTTTAGTCATTGTAGGAACAAGCCCCTCTTCTTTGAGTCTGCACCAGTCTGAGGTTTCTACCCCCCACACCCACCTCTAACCAAAGCATTTGTTGCAGCCTTTTGCCTAAGGCCTCTGTTCAGGGCTGTGTGGGAGAAAAGATGAGGAGGAGGGGGAGAGGAAGAAAAGGGGGGAAGACATAGAAGAGGGAAGCGGCAGGGGGGGGGGTGAGTTTGGGGGTTGAGCAACAACTGAGGGCACAGAGCTGAGAACACAAGGAGGGCCTGGAGCCAAACAGGGCTACGAGATGGATTTTATGATGCGTGAATGAGAGAGCTCGGGAGGTGTGAAGTGGAGGAAGCTGCCTGGTAACAGGGAGCGAAGGAGACACACATGCTCTGCAGCCTCATTTACATCATCGGGTCCATCACACCCGATCCATGGGTGCGTTTACACTTGCTCTTGTTTCAGTTCTGCAAATGAGTCAGGTGGGGCTGACTGGTCAACAAACTTCAAGTGAAGCAACTCCACAAGAGGGAGTGATACTTGACTGCTGATGACACCACCATCCTGGGCCTCATCAAGGGGGGAGATGAGTCGTGCTACAGAAGCCTGGTGATCGAGATTCTTGTTTATGGAGAGGAGAAAGACCTCATCCTCAACATAAACAAGACAAAAGAAATAATAGTAGACTTCAGGAACAACCCCTCCCCTCTGCTGCCTCTGACCATCAAATCAGTGTTAGTGACAGAGGACAAAACTACCATCCATATTCTGCACAAAAATATATTAAACACAGCTGCAGTGAAGGGGCTTGATAGAAAGCAGCCCAACTGCTGACCCTAACACGGCTACTGAAGGGCATTTAACCCACAAACCAGCAGACACATCTAAACCTCTCTGGAGTCATGCACAGTCCCTACACTGCCCCTCAATTCTCCTCAAAATTTAATAATCAAAACACTGTAATCCAAAATAATCCAGTCTGGCCTGTTAGATTCCCAGATTAGTCAGAGATTACAGAAAACTGCTCTCATCCCTGGAACGATGCAGAGTACAGACGTCAAATCACGACAGTGGGCCGAGGCTGAGGGAGGTCAAACCACTGTCTCTCTGTGACTGGGAGATCCATCCATCCATCCATCCAGAGACGAACACATGCTGCTTCAGGTTAAGTCATCTCTCCACTCATCTAGTCCTGAAACTAGTACTGCCCCCGTATCCTCGTCTCCTTTCATGGTGTCATTCAAGTCTTTGCATGACACTCCTGCACGTGCAGTGAGGCCGAGAGTATTTTCCCTCAGGATGGCCTCTAACCTCAGGCTGAGTTCAGACAGAGAATCGTTTGTCATGAGAGGACACACCAATTTTGTTGTTACAGGAGCATGCTAGTTTTCTTCAGAGGATGTTCACTTGGAGAGCTACATGATGTACATGGAGTTAGCTTGTGTGACAAATGCAATGACCAGTTTGCAGTGACAAGATCATTGATTATAAAGTTCACAGGCTTCTTGCTCTCACAGAAAGACAGGCACACAAACACACACACACACACACGATATGTACACCATACAGTATACACTGCACCGTATATGGTAATCAGCTCAGGCAAGTATTAGCCATTCGGTACTCTGATGTGCTGCCTCTGGCTGCAGGCCCATGTCTCCTAGTGGGAGGAAACGAGGCCAAGCTGACTGGGAGCACTGCTACTGCTGGGAAGCCCATGTGTGTGTGTGTTTCTTCATTAGAGGAAGATGAAAGTGTTACAGTCACACAGTCTCTGTCCTAGAAACACTATCATTTCAAGCAGAGGCCAAAGCACAGTGTAAAGTGGCTTCACAGCTCATTATTCTCTGGAGAGGTCAGGGTTTTTGCAGGGAAAGACCTGTTTTGGACAGGCCTATTTTCTAGTTAACACTAGTCAAGTCAAATCAAGTCATTAGTATAGACAAATAATGATGAGCCTCATCTGTAGTGTCCTGCATTAGTAAGATTATCCACATTAATCTGCCTGACATGAGGCAGAAAGGAGCCAAAAACCAACCACTACTCAACTCAATCGACCTGTTGTCCAGAGTTCGATGACTTTTCATGCACTCTTCATCACCCCACACTGTACCACTACACCTCACTGACATAAATCATAGCTACAGCTCATGAGGCACCTTTTCCAGTGCAGCTAGGATCCATGAGGAGTGCTAGGAACATCCAGTGAGGCTGCATAAAGCCATCAGAGGAAATTGGCTCCACAAGAAAAAGCTGTACAGCGTCTGCAGGCCATGTGCTCGTCATGAATGCACTGACAGATTTGTTATTACTGCTCCCAACATCTGCACACAACCTCCTCTTTTAACAGATCTTCTGTTTAAACTGGCAGTTAGCTCCACCTCAGCCACAACAGTAACACATGAAATCATCCGTAATAATCTAATGATATATAACAGGATTGGACTTTAATAGTCGGTGCAGGACTTGTACCACCACTGATACTAGTCCAGTCATGCCCAGACATTTGATGATAATTACTTTTACTGGCCAAGTATGTTACACAAACAAAGAATTTGTCTCCGGTACAGAATGGAGGTGGCCATCTGCAGCAACAACTCACACACCGATCATGCCAATGTCCCTGCAGGGCGCTGCCCTGGCCATCCGGGGGTTTCAGTGTCTTGCCCAAGGACACTTCAACACTTGGAATGGGGGGACCGGGAATCGAGCCACCGACCAATCTACCTCCTGAGCCACAGCCACACCAATTTCAACACACCTTCTAATGAACATTACAAATACTTTTTTTTAACAACGTTGAGTAATTTCAGAAAACGTCAGCAATTTGCTCGTGAGGTTGGTGTATTTCTGTTTCCCTGGCTTTGTTCTGTGAGACAGGTGAGAACACTTTGTGTGAATCTGGCAGCAGAGCAGGCGTCCTCTCCACCGCACAGATGGATTCAAACTGGAAATCAAACCCTGCCAACAGGCTCATCTGCAATGAGAACACAGTCTGGTTGAAGTCTGGCTCACAGCCAGGACAGCGCACTGTCAGCTTCACAGATCTGTCATTTGGTCAAGACAAGCTTGACAGACTAACCCAAGACTTAGACTGCACCTAGTTTTTGACTAAAACCATAAAATGAGATGACTAACACAGACCTTACTGAAGCAAATGGTTTACGGTGTTGTTAAAAACCGAGAAGAATATAGTTGCCTCTGCCAGTCGTCACCAGACGGCACATGACAGCTGGAGCCTGGAATCAGAGGGGTTTATCTTTAGCTGTGCCAATTATGGGCCTTCACACTTAGAGAGAGATGCATATTCACACACATTCAAACATAAATCTGTTTACTGAAGCTGTGTAAAGGGTTCAGCTCTCCAGACACATTAAGAGGAGGTCGGACATGCATCTGACCAGATTTGGGCCTCTGAACATTGCTGTGACTTTGCAGGTGGAATTTCTCAGATATGTGGTGCATGTCTGGCTCGGGACAAATCTCCCAAACAGCTGGATACAGCTGATCTGCCAAAAAACCCGAGAGGACAACAGCCACTGCTGTCTCACATTCTAGATGTATGACTGAGACTGAGTTCTGTCTAGCAGCAGCAGCAGCACAGTTTACCCCCGATATAAATCAAACATGAACTTGGAGCCTTCATCTAATTGAACGTAGAAGCCTGTGAGATGTATTGGGATTACTGGAGCAAACTGCAGTTTGTTTAAAGTGGATGTACAGACAATCAGTGACTCACTCTCACACAGGTTGTCTGAAGTGCTGCATTTATGATTCTGTGTAAAAGCAGAACTTACAGTATGACTCCCAGTTGCTGACACATTCCAAGTGCCCCCTTTAAGTTCCAACTTTAGGGTGGAAAACCCTTGAAAACAGTATCTCCACAGGGGTACTGACTATTCCCGCCTGCCGCCTAGCCAAGGTTAGAACATGGGTTTTTCCAGCTACCAGTAGTCATGTCAAACAGCCATGGAGGAGCTCTGGGCAGCTGAAAGTCTGAACCAGCAGCTGCCAGAGTGAAGAGGTTTTGCACAGAGAGAGTGGGACAAAGAAAGAGCAACAACCAGGGTTAATATGGGTTTGGCTGTTTGACATAATAGCAGCCAGAGGACTCAGACTGGATCCAGATGTGGCGTTCTTCTGTCTGGATGTGTTAGCATCTAAAGCTAAAGTTTAAAATGATCTTTATGTGTGGTTTGTCCGGCATGATTATGTTTCAGCTTTGGCCCAAGCTTAAATCTTCTGTTATAGTAAATGAAATATCCCTAGGTTTAGACTGTTGGTCTGACAAATTAAAACATCTGAAGACATCACTGGAAAAATGTGACTGACATTTTTTAATTATTATTTGTAAAATATTTCGACATTTTGATGCTTCTATTGATAGCAGCCTGAGAATTTATTGGATTTCAGGACAAAATGACAAAGATGCTACACAAAACAATTCATTACAACAATAATGACAATGAAATGAACTATTAGCCCAAACATGCTGAATGCTGGACACAGTCGCGAGAAGGTTGGGAACACACTTCACTTCCCTGACTCTCCTGCTTTGGAAAACAGCACTCTCCTCTGTGATTCATTAGTGTCGGCCTGCTGTTTAAGTGCCAGGCTAACAGAACCAATCGCCATTAACTTCCAAATAGGTCACAGTCACAACAGCCAATCGGAGGACCAGATGACGGGATTATCCTGGAAACATGGCCGCCCTGGGCCATCTGAGATTATCGCACATGTCCAAATTAGATTCCTTATTACAGAGTACTGCATGTTGCAGCATACCGACCACATGAGAAGGGCTGTGTGTGCACGAGTGTGCTGAGGGAAGAAGGCAGGAAAAACACAGGGCGACCTATTTCTAGCCAGGCTGAACCACCAGGCCTGTTGCTCTTAGATGCTGTAACATATTTAAACCAGTAGTATGGACACTAACTGCACCCAGTCTGGCCGTACACTCAGCTGTATTGCACTTCCCAAGCAGCTCAGGGAAACACAGCTCCTGTGGGAATAATAAGACAACACTGTGCTAAAATAAATCGGATGTGTGTCTGTGGCCAGGGGCCGTGTTAAGGCTGAACAAACAACGAGGAATGTTTGGGTCAAAAGAAGAAACAAATAAAGGAAAACACTAAATATCTGTTGAGAGGAGGCTTATGATAATTAATACTACATTAGTGAGAAATGCAGAGGAAAGTGACAGAATAAAACATAAAAACTAGAGCTGGAGGAGTCAGGCTAGTCAGTCAGCCAGTTATTTGACTGGCAGAAGACTGCTTCTATAATTTGGTATTTTGTCTTTATATATGGTCACTTACCTGCATGTGTCATTATACTATTACCATTTTACCCAACTCAAGCTCATATGAGGTTTTGCTGACAGTTTGGGATCCAACGGAGTTACGAGATTTAGTCACAAGCCCTTGTTACGCTGCTTCTGTTTTTATTGGTTAAATGTTTGTAAAAACCCACAGACAGGCATAAAAGGTGATCAACAGCCCTGATTTATGAACAAATAAAAAAACAAAATAAGGACATAGGAGGTTTCTGCCAAACAGCAGAAACAGCAACAGTATCTTGTCTGATAGAAAAGTGAATATCTTTGTGTTTTGGACGGTTTATCAGACATCACCAGGCATCTACAGACAGCACCATGGGGGACTCCAGTCAGGCTTAAGTGGCAAATTTGAGGACTAACGCTTGTAAATGGCTCGACTTTGCTTGATTCTGACCACAGTAACTTGGGACTTGCTTGTGACTTACTCCCACCTCTGGTTAGTTGGTTAAAACCACTGAACCCTTATGTTTAAGAAGCTGGAACCTGTAAACATTCAGCATTCTTGATTAACTGATTATGAATGACGAATAAACTAATCAATGAATCAACCACTTGCTCTAACGTTACTGCTGATTACATTTTCTGTCCACTGACTTGTAAATGAATCACCTACTGTTTTAGGACTAAGGCAAAGACTGTTCCTCTTTTACCAGGATTGGTGTGGACGTGTCCTGGTGAATGAGACACATCTCTGCTGATAGCTGGACTTTCATTTTAGTCATTTTTCAAACTAAAACATCCCGTTTGCTGCTGCAGCTCCACACATATGAGAGTTAACTGTGAAACAACCCATCTTAGTGGGCTGTGACATGTCTAACTGTTTTTAAAGAAAGCTATTAATCAACTCATCTAAGAAATAACAGGCAGGATCATCAATAATGAAAATAACTAGTTGCAGCATTGGACTAAACTGTGTATTCGTACCTTCCAGACTGAAGTCGAGCAGCACATACTCGTACACAGTGTCCGTTTTGGTCTCCACTTGCGGTCTTTTCAAGGTGGAGTAGATTTTCCCGGGACTGCTGTCCTCCGGGTCTTCCAGCTTCCTCAAGCCGCAGCCCATGGCCTCCGAGGCGCGGTGGGAGCACCGGAGGAGCCTCTCTTCTTCTAACTTTACCGGGACCGCTCCATCCCGCCTGTGTCGCCGCTGTGAATCCGCCGACAGCTCACAGATGATCGGCACAAAGGCGGAGCGAGGACACCGCCAGTTTATGGAGAGAAAAGTTGGAGGATGGAGGGTTGTTCATGTAACAGCAGAGCGGCTGCACGTCTGGACTGTGGACGGGAGAAGGAGCGCGCTCCCAGGGAGAAAAGTTTGCTCCTCAGACAAGCTACTGAGGATCATACAACTTCCGCTGAAAGTTTCAAAATAAAACACTGAGCCAATTTTAAAGTGAGTCCACATCGAAACAATTCGGTGGTTTGTGTACTTTTTTATGTTATTTTTACATACCCATTATGTGCAGGGCCAAATTATGTCCCTGGGAACCTCATGTCTTCTACACTGGGACGAAACACGGAGAGAGGCAGGAAACGGTAGTGGCAGTGAAATCAAACTGGGTCAACTGGAAACTGTTTCTGCTACGATCCTTGGACTCATATGTTGCATATTTTCCTAGTTTGTAGCTGTGGTGGTGGTGATGGGGTTGACTAAATAGTTCAGCTATTGGATTGATTGACATTTGACAGTGACGCAAACAATCAACACAAAAAGTGTCCACAAATGTCCAGAGGATCTCTTGACTTTCACTGTGTTACTATTGCCAACCAGCAGCTCAAACGTTTCACTTAAAGTCTGTAAGTATGTTAACATTGTGTTCACCTTTACCAACATTAAAGTGATAAACACAATAATACATCAATCATTATAATCCAATAATATAGCCTACATTAATGTGAAGTGTACCTTCTGCACAATGACTGCTTTTACTTTTGGTAGGCTACTTGAAGTATATGGTGAACACAGAACTTTCACATGAAACAGAGTATTTTACACTGTGACATTACTACTTTTAAATGATCTGAATACTTCTTCCAACACTGCTCACAAATATAGCAATGCAGACCCACAAACGCTGCCATGATGGGAACAGAAGTCAGAGTGGGGGCAGAGGCTGGGAGCCAGTAAGGCCAGCTGCAGCCCCCCCTGCCGCGCCCCCTGTCTCTCTCTCTCTCTCTCACACACACACACACACACACACACACACACACACACACACACAGACAGGCCGTTTGGATCAGTTTCAGGTCTCCATTAACTGCTCATATGGTCTCAGTGTTGAGACACTTTAGGAGGATACTATAGTTGTTGAACTGTTTCACTGTTCCAGAGAACACAACACAGACCAGTGATTTTATAATCAAGACATGCATAGTGATATTAGAAGGCTGCATTCTGCTGTGATTGATACCAATCATACTGAGCTGTGCATGTTTTCCCATGTGTTTTCAGCCACATTAACAAGTCTTTTGTTTGATTAAATGAAAGGAAGGAGAGGAAGGAAGGAAGCGGCTGAGAGAAGATGAAAATGGTGGAATTCCTAAAAAAAGTCATTTACTGTGTGTAAACTTTGAGTGTATATA